TGGGGACAAATCCAAACCAAAAAGGCCACGATCCGACAACACCTGGGTAAGTGGCCACATGTGGCCTACACCTCCCAACTTCTCTATTGCCCGCATCTCCACCGTTCCTTTCCCACTGAGTCTTTGCAAGACTACGCCCAACTTGTCTTCAATATATTGTAGCCGCTCAGTGTTTTCCATCACTTTGATCGCCAACATCCTAACCTCCGAAGCCTCACCCATCCGCTCATCTGGGCGGTCCATTCCCGCTTCGCCCACCAACGCCCAATCTGCCCTAGGGAAACGCCCACTTTGTCCCCATTCTTAGGCCATATCCACTAGATCTTACGGCTTTACACTATAGGCTCTTTTGAGCAAACGCACACCGGTCACGCCTGCTTGAGTGGGTTCAGTGGGTGGAGGAGCGGCGGCCCGCTGGCAGCTAAGTTCCCACCGAATGTAACTGGTTGATGTCATGTCTGCTGAACAAAATTATCATGATAATGTGACATCGTCAATTCGTTTTTCTAGTAGCGTTCCTCTCGCGATCGGACGTGCCCATAACCATATTGGTTGCACCATCAATGCATAACCTTTTTAAAAATGTGTGCCCATATATCAGATATAGTCAATATTGCGGAACTAAACACTCAACCGAGTGCGTGCCTTTTATATGCTTTTCCCATCTGTTTCGTTCCATAATCCGATCACCCTTAATGAAATTTAACAATATGTACAAAGGGATTTACCACCCTCATCTTGGAATGCAGTGGTCATCAACGACCGGGCCCAAGTTTTTGGCTTTCATTTGCGTTAACTCCGATGATCATGCCGTCGTTTTGTGGATGATGCTGGGCATGGTTGTAACATTCCCTTGAACAAGGTTTCCCCGCTGAGAGCCCGCACACCGTTTTGTCATCACCGGGGTCATCTTCGGCCCGGGGTGCACGTGTCCCAGAGCCCCGCATAGGCGCCCCAAAGAAACGTCGTCCGTCGCCGCTCGATGCGCCAATTCTTTCCTGCCGTCCGCACGCCCCTCGCAGGGCCTCCGCTGCCCAACCCCCCTTAGCTCAGCCCCAGACCGCCCTCCTTTCACCCCATCTGCCGAGAGAGGCGGGCTCGCATCCTCCGTGGGCGCCGATCGCCTGACGCCGCGATCCAGGCGGCCGGTGCTGCGGACGGCAAAGGCGAAGACTCGGCCGTCCCAGCCACCAGTCCGCCGGGCCAGCGGCGGCGCTTTTTTTTGCTGATTGGCCCGCGGGCCGCGATCGCGGGAAAAGGGAAGGCGCGCGGACGCCGGCCCGCGGTTGGCGCCTGGCGGCATGGCGCACGGGCCTGACATCCCCTTCTGGTCGATCCCCGCTGGGGAGGTGACCAGGAGGCTGGACGTGAGGGCGGATCGCGGGCTGGGGGGCCAAGAGGTGGGGAAGCGGCGGGCGGAATACGGGTTCAATGAGCTGAAGAAGGAGCCCAAGAAGCCCCTGTGGAAGCTCGTCCTTGAGCAATTCGACGACATGCTCGTCAAGGTGTGGGGCAGGGGGGAGAGCGGGGCGCGGCTGGGCTGCGAGATCCATTCGCGCGAGCTCGGAGGGCCCGCGGCCGATCGGCTGCGGCCGGGGATCGGATGTCCGCCGCTCGCCCCGGCCTGCGCGTGTCCGTCGCCCGCTGAGCTTGATTTCGGATGTCATGGTGGCCAAGCGCAATCTGGAAACGATTCGACTCCTCGGCGCGCCACTGCCGGGTTGGGGCGGGATGGCGTCGGCCTGCGGCGCGCAGTTGATCGGAAGGCTGAGCTGCGGGCTGCCCGGGTCAGCGACGCTGCGTGGAACGGCGATCTGACCGACACTTGGCGCCCGCGCAGGTCCTCTTGCTGGCCGCCGTGGTGTCGTTCGCGCTGGCGTACTTTGAGGACAACTCGGAGGTCGACGGCCTGCGGGCGTACATCGAGCCGTTCGTGATCCTCCTCATCCTGATAATAAACGCCGTCGTGGGCGTGTGGCAAGAGTCGAATGCCGAGGCCGCCCTGGACGCTCTCAAAGAGATGCAGAGCGAAACCGCCAAGGTCATCAGAGACGGGTCCCGGGTGAGCTGCAGACGGATCCTAGCACCAGACTGCCGCCCTGAACCCCTTGTTGGAGCCGCGCTGCCAGATCCAGGACAAACCCCATTGCCAGATCCTCGACAGTATGTGTTGGGTGGCCAACATGAACTCCAGCACAGAGGGCGCCTTTTGCCAATGAAACTGTGCTTCAAGCTGGGCCCGCAAGGCTACCCTGAGTCCTTTTTTGAAACCACGTCTATTTGTGAGTGAGAACAGCAGAACTTGGAGACATAAAGGACGCACCACAATTGCCAGATCCATGGGTGTTGGTTGTGTGGCATGGATGGTGCACATGCCCACATATGTAATGGCCTCTGTTCAGCAGTGTGGCCCTTCTTTGACCAAGAACTCGCAGATTACTGCCCTCAATCTATTCGTGTGGAAGTGACTGCTGCTGTTGTTGGTTCATAACGTTGTCTGTCAACGCACAACAGTGCCATGCCATTCTTCAATCCCTCCCAAGGAGAGTGGAAACTTGCCGCGCAGTGGACGTTCCTGTCCAACAAGAATGGGATCCATGTTTACGATTTGTGTTCAAGATTATGCAGAGATGAGTCACTGACTGAAATGTTGCAGGCCCTTGCATTTGCATTGTCCACATGTGACATTCAATGCACTGCCAATGGTGATAAATGCTGCGAGTTGCTCAAAGTCCCATTTTTGCTTCGATCAGATCTCAGATCTGCCTTCAAGGGAGCTGGTACCAGGCGATATAATCGAGCTGACAGTTGGTGACAAGGTACCGGCAGACTCTCGAGTTGTCAAACTCAACACTGCTTGCGTAAAAGCAGTGCAGGCTTCCCTAACGGGAGAGCCTGTTGCTGTTGAGAAGACGATCGACCCAGTGCCTGACCCGGACTGCGAGCTGCAGCTGAAGGAATGCATGCTGTTCGCGGGGACAGCGATCACCACAGGTACTTGTGTGGCTGTTGTCACGGGCACTGGGATGAAGACTGAGATCGGCAAGATCCAGGAGCAGATCAGTCAGGCTGCTGAGGAGGAAGCTGACACTCCCCTGAAACAGAAGCTGAACGAATTTGGCGAGCTGCTCGCACAGGTTGGTGCGCTGTTCCAATTTTTCACTTTCTATCTCTCAACGTGCCATGTTCATCTCATTTATGTGATCACGAGATCTCGTTCTTAGAGAGATGTGGTGGGTGTGGAATGGTGTTGTTTTGTCGAAGTGGGTGGAAAATTGAGCATTGAAGGACATTTGGCCTTGTGCCTGGGCTCAAACCAATATCCTGCAGCTCATCTCCCGAATGGCCTGAATGGGATGCAACATTCAGATGATGAGGGTTGGCCTGGAGCGTTAAGGATGCCTTGCTTGCCTGCTTGCTTTTTGCTGCCACCTTGGCTGGTTTTGCACCTCGCAACAAAGTGCTGAAGGTTAGTAACCAATACATCAGCTTGCAACTACTGCATTGCTGGATTTGTGGGAAGCCTGTTAGATGCAAAGAGTGACACTGACTTGCAAAAAGATCGGAACTGCCCTCCACACTGTTGCCGTACAACTTGCACTTGCACAAGGTGTCTGGAGGCCCTTCAACCAAACCAAAGATATCAGGTGTTGGTTTCGCAGTTTGTTATGGCACACCAAGCTTCCTCGCTGCAAATTTGTTGGCAGCCACCTTGGGAAGGATGTTGTCAGTGTGGTGCTTTTACAGCTGTTCCTTTCCTAACAATCCTCTGGAACTTTCCCCTTTTGGCTTTCTAGGCTCAGATCGATGTGGAGGCTCACTTCTTGCTTCTTTTAGTGCCTGTTATGATAACTCTTGTCTTGGAAAAACGTGTTGAGTTGTTGGCTTCTGCTGTGCCCACATTATTATGATTGTTGTTCATTCACAGGTGACATCGCAGAACCAGATTGTCATATTGTGTTACTGTATGTGTATGCAGGTCATCTTCTACATCTGTGTGACAGTGTGGCTCATAAACTACCATCATTTCTTGAGCTGGGAAAGCACACCAGGCAGCTCTCTTCCTAACTTGTCTACAGTGACCTTTTCGTTGGGCAAATGCACCTACTACTTCAAGATAGCAGTCGCCCTGGCAGTAGCTGCGATCCCTGAGGGCTTGCCTGCAATTATCACCACCTGTCTTGCCCTCGGAACTCGGCGGATGGCAAAGAAGAATGCCATTGTCAGGTGAATGTCCTGCTACTTATCATAATGTTGCAATTCATCTGCATGGTCTACTGCTGGGTATTTGGTTCCTGGTGGCTTGCAGGTGCCAAGATTGTGGCTTTGGCAGAAAAGGCAAGTTTGACATTGGTATATTTAGAAAGGACGTTTGGGCACGTGCTACTGTTGTTGCAAGTGATTTGCTGAAGGGTAGCGGCTTCCCAGTTGACCAGGTGGTAGCCCGGTCCGATGGCAAGTGTGATGTGAGGGTACATCTTGCAATTGCTATGTCTGGGATGGGATCGTGGTCAGACTGCATAGGCATCAATTGATTTCAGAATCGCATGAGGTTGGGATCGTCAATGTGGTGTTTCTGTTAATGCTAAACATCAGCCAACCAGAAGCCCCTCCACCAGGAGCTTGCAGAGTGGATATTTGGTCAAGGTTTGAAGACTACTCGTCCCAAAGCAAATGAATCCTGAATGCTCCCAAATCGCAAGCTTAACCCAAGTGTCTGGTGTTCTCTGGTGCTGCACCAAGACACAGCAGCATGGAGGAGCACCAAGTGCTGAACAAAGTGGCAGGGGCACGTTTTGTGACTGTGGGTAGGAAAGCCTTGCCAGGTTATGACTAAGCTGGGTGGCACCCCCTTTGGTGAAGAATATCCGTGGGAACTGCAAGGGATGGCTTTTTGTGCAGTCACAAGGAGGCACAAGTGGATTGCCTGGTGGCATGGGTTGTTTTTCCAGAATATGGACCTGTTTGGACATCAGCTAGCACAGGACAAAGGTTTATCGCTTTTTGTAGCCAATGCTCTGCAAGCAGTTGAACAAGAGCAACTGAACAATAATGACACACAGCTTGTTTGTCTGATGTGCAACAATGTGTTCGGATTCCTGGCTTCTCTGGGTATCTTGCCACTTTCCATGTTGTGGCCAGTTGATACTGTTGGTGCGGTATTAGAGCAAGGCAAGGGAGAGATATAGAGGTGTGTTGGGTACTACAGTATTCCCAGATGCATCGCAGCTTTCCTGTAACAGCAATATGCCAATGAAGTGCGTGCCACTGCCGATGGCCCTATGGCACCCTGCAAGACACACCAGTTGTGTGGTTGCCATTCCCTGGCGAAAATTTTGTTCAAGCATGTGAGTGTGCATGCAAGTTATGGATGTCTATGCTGCTGCAGATGATAGGAAGAGGTCAAATGAGTATGGAACTAGGCTCCTGAATGCGTGGGGTGGGGGGGGTGCATGTTCTACATTGCACAGAGTAGCAGCTTCATGGATGAGACTGCATATTTGTGCAGGAGTGATCGGCCCCAGTTGCAAAGTGCTGGCCAAGTCTGGAACTTGTTCATATATTTATTTGCTACATATAGACGTGCTACAGTGGTGGAGCAGTCAACCACTTGTTCCCAATTCGAATGGTCGATAAGTGGCATCCTCATGTCAGTGGCATCAGCAACTGAAAGGGTCTGTTGTTGCTCGTGCAGGAAGTTGCCCTCTGTTGAAACACTGGGATGTACAACTGTCATATGCTCAGACAAGACTGGCACCCTCACGACCAACCAGATGTCCTGCGTCCAACTCGTTACCCTTGGCGCGCTACCTGGGGAGTTGAAAGACTATCCAGTGTCAGGACATACGTTTGACCCAGACTCAGGGTCAGTCACTGGGTTGAAAAAGTTCAACAAGGCCGTTGAGGTGAGGTTGGTGGTATGTTCAATGTCGGTGGGCTGGGTAAACCTCGGGTGGTAACAAGTTGGGAATCTGCTGCTACAACAGTTGCTGAAAAGTGACAAGGCAGTGCACTTACACTTGGGGGGGGCTATTGGGGTGCCATTTGTCTCCGCATTTGTTTGCCTTGAACTAATTTTTGTTCACACTAGCCATCGGCCATCTCAGGTGCTGCCGATTAGCAGTGTCAAAGCTGCTGTGCGCATGTTTGTTGTTGTAACTTTGTGGGTCTTGTGAATGCTCTGTGCATTGCAAGTTGGCTGCAAACCGGAGCCCATAGCATGCAGGTGCTACTTTGTGTTCCCATCGCAAACATTGATCGTGCAAGGTGTATTGATGACCTTGGGAGAGCGTGTCAGCTTGCTTTGAAGACAGGATTTCCAAGTAGCTCCTGAATGCGACTTTCTAACATACTCTGATAAGTGCAATGGTTATGCTGTACCACAATAGGTGTCTGAAATGTGTGTCACGACTCCCCTGCCCACTGATATGCAGATGCACCATCTGTGCAATGCAGTAGCGTTGCCATTGTGCTGCAGAATGTTGATACTGTACAACAACATGAGCTAAGATGATCTGACGAATGGACCCTATGTGTTGGCCGCCTGTATTTCAGCCCGAATGTGGGTGTACACTACATTTAGTGGGTGTTTGTAGCCGTTTTTGTCATAATCCTTCCAAGATCCCCAATTTGGGACAGTGGCAACCAATCAGGCAAGAAAGACGTTTCGAGGGTATTAGCAGTCCATTTTCACAACAGCTCCAAAAAATGGGTGCCAGAACAGGCATCCAAGAATACACCCAATTATTTTGCTGACTTCCCTTGTTTCTTCCTCCGTCCCATGTTAACTGTCACCTGTGAATTAACTGCACTAGTTCTCCTTTATTGGAGCTTCCGTTTTAGATGAAACTTTGTGCAAAGCTATTTCCATAAGTTTGAAGTGTGAGGTAAAAGAATCAACTCAATGCTGTGCAGGATTGTGGATTTTGCACCATTCTGTACCAAGGCTATTGTGCCTAGTAAACGTCGAATTATTCCCGCAAAAAGGGCCAAAATTGACCATTTGCTCAACGCTCAAGGGTGTCAGGACTCACTTTTCCTTCTTGAAAACTGGGTAGCTAAGGGTTTTGGAAACCAATCTTCCCAATTCTGGCCTCGTTTTGTAATTCAAATGCTGTTTTGTTAGTGAATTTCTCTTTCAAACAGACGACAATTAATATGGGATAGAGGAATTAGCATTTAGTGTAAACCAGCACCCCTGGAGCTGAAGAGACTGGAATCGTCGTCTATCAGAAAACAGGATGTGAATACACCAAGAAGGGGTCGTTTTGGCAATGCATGCCGTAAATGCAAGTTAAACGCCCAGCAAACGGGCTGGACAGACACTGTTTGCAAAACGTGGCTGACTGTGCAAGAAAAAGGGCTGCCAAAGCAAACAGCCCTTGAGTTGACAATGGCCCAAGTGCTTCAGCTGGATAATTCATCCAGAGTTGTAAAATGCCAATGTCTACCTACGATACAGGGAGGTATCAATAAGGCATGTGGACATGGCATGTTAATAATGCAATTGGGGGTAATGCTCACCGTTAGCAGTCACAGCACGAGCCTTGCGCACTGCACACCTGACCCCATCCTTTTGTGGCGACTTTAAGCTTTCAACCGCGCTGCAAGTCAGTGCAATGCTCCTCTGTCTGCATAGAGGCTGAGGCAGTTCTGCTGTTTTGTGGCAGGCAGTGGCGCAAGTCTGTGCTCTGTGCAACGATGCTCGCATAGAGTGGAAGTCGGGCACCTTCAGGGGCGTTGGCGCCCCAACAGAGGCGGCCCTAGTGGTGCTCACAGAGAAATTGGGTGTGCCTGACCTGACTGAACAGCAGACCATCGTGTCAAAGAGGAAGAGTGATCCAGAGAACCACCCTGATGGTGCGACTCTGGCATATGCTGCAAGGTGAGTGGGAGCATCCAATGCCCCCAATTGTGAAGTTGACAGACGCAGGTTCAGACTGTGTGATGTGCACTGTACTCTCCCCAGCAATGTCACTGTGTCATTGTGATCCTGTGTGATCCTTGAGTGTTCAGTGGGGGCATCTCACAGTTGAGTTTCCCTGGGTACCTGTGAGTGGCACAGATGAGCTGTGAAAGTGGTGCCTGGGACAGGCAGCCAAGCCAGGCATAGCTTTGAAATGCACACACTTCTGTAATGTGCAGATTTGGCAACCATTGATTGATTTTTGCTTTGTAAACGTATCAGTGATTGATGTGAAAGACATGAACGAGCACAAAAGGCATCACAAGGGCTCTATCGAAACCCACTCGACCTGGCAGAGACATTGAGATAAAAACCTGTCCTTGAGTTCCTAGAGGTTGCCATTTGAGATGCTGTACTTGGAGAGTGCACATTGGATTTGATAAGAGAGTGCACCAGCTGCGTGTTTGCTTGCAGGCTTGCTTTTTGATTGAGAGTCAAAAACACAGTTTGAAATTTTTGAAAGCATGTTTTGGAGAATGTGCATTTGGGTTGGATCTGTATGTGTGAATCTGCTATTGACTGCTTTTGTCATCATACGAGATAGCCCTACTCTTACACCTGCGAGGCAATAACATGTTTTGTGCACTTCTGCAAGTGTATGTTCTTGAAGTGTTTTCTTGGTGTCCACTCCCAACTTGGCAGCCCTATATGCTGCCATTGGGCCCTGTTCATCCAGTGTAATTACCTCTAAGGCAGCAGTAAGGCTGCATGTTGGTGTCCACTTGGGCTGCATTCTTTGGGCCTGTGCTATCTGGCTGCTGTTTCAGTAGCAGAGAATTTTGCACATAGCTTGTGTACAGGACTATTTCACTGGCAGTTTTGATTTGTGTACCATCCGTTTTTGTATAACAGATATGTATAGTGGACTTACATATTGCATACTATGTTGATTTCACTTGCCATCAAATTGACCTCAGGGTCCAAAGGCTGGCCAGTGCCTGGTGTATTCACCTGGGGAGTGTGTTCTTGTGGGACTGCATCTGGCCCATGCCAATCCTTGCCCCTTCACAATGTGCAACTGTACACTATTGGGCGCAGATGCTGCACGGATGTGGACGGGTGTACATGCTCACTGCTGTGCACTGATATACGCTGTTGGCCATCGTTGGAGGCAGGTTCAAGAGAAGGGCTGTGCTGGAGTTTGACCGAAAGAGGAAATCGATGAGTGTGCTGTGTGCCAACGCTGGCCAGTCCAAGAACATCCTGTTTGTGAAGGGGGCAGCTGAGTGTGTAGTCGAGAGGTGCAGCCGTGCGATGCGGGAGGATGGCTCAATCGTGCCACTGGATGATAAGTTGAAAAAGCAGATCCTTGTGTCTGTGGAGAACATGGCCAAGAAGGCCCTCAGGTGCCTGGCCCTTGCACAGAAGGTGGGTGGCACTTGGGAAGTTTTGTGTTTGAATGCCATGAGCATGTCAAAACTTGTGTGTCAATATAGGTATGTTCTTATCAGGAAAATTGCCACTATTCTGTGGTGATGCAAAGCAATGACAGCACCTTTTCTCATGGAGTGTCCTCTGCTATTTGAGTTTGTACAATGTGTGCAAATTATGGCCGAATGGAAATCATGTGCCCATCCTATTTTGTGGCAAATTGCATAGGTATGGATCGAGTCGCAACAAGCAAAAACCGCTGTGTGACTAACCAATGGTTCATTGGCGAGAACTGGGAAGAGCTGTCTGAAAGTTTAGACAACCATTGCTCACGTGCAACGTGTGCATGCTGCCCATGAGCTGGCTGTTGTTGTGCCCCTTGTATGCTTGGCACTGGCCCTGCTGTGTGCACAAACCATTGGACACCATCCTAACAGCTGCCTGTTTTTGCCTTCTGTGTCTTTTTGTGTCTCAAGGGGTCTTCATGTGTCTTTTATGTTTGCAGGCTTTATTTCTTGATACCTATCTATGATGCACAAGACCAGAGGCAGGATGCCCCTGTTTCTGTGTCCTTGTGTGCAATATGGCCTAGAGCCTGTACTGATTTGAGTTGCTGCTCGATGGTGCTGGGCAAGTGTGGAGCACAGCCTGCCTTTACAGACTGTCCCACCAGAACAGTGCTTTGTCCCTCAAAATCGTGTTTGTTCTCACAGTCCAACTTTCCTGTTCTTCAGACAGATCTGGGCGAGCTGGCATCATACGATGGGGAGACACATCCAGGCCAAAAGACCCTCCACGATACTGAGAACTATGCAGCAGTTGAGTCTGACATGGTGTTTGTGGGCCTGGCGGGCCTGAGGGACCCACCCAGGCCAGAGGTCAGGCAGTCCATCGCTGAGTGCAAGGAAGCTGGCATACGGGTGATTGTCATCACAGGAGACAACCAAATCACAGCTGAGGCAATATGCAAGGACATCGGTGTGCTATCTGGCGGGTCAGTGGCAAAGGGGTCCTCGATGACAGGTTAGTAGCCGAGAGGTTTGCCTACAGATGAACAGATGTGCTTCCGTGGTTGTGTGGATTGTGGCAGTGGTCAAAGACTGCAGAATGAATCTCATTGTGCATTGCATTCCCAAACATGGGTGGAACAGCTGTGCCCACAGCTGCATAAGTTGCACTGGAGAATCTGCCATAGAGTGGTGCAATGGCAGCACCCCTGCCCCCCTCACCCATCCCTTTTGCACTTGGCTTAGAATATTGATCTGCCAAGTACCTTTGCTTGATATGTTGGATAGAGCATAACTGCCAACACATGATGCTTGTTAACGTCACCAAAGCAAATTGGTAATGGCGATAATGTCAAGCACTTGAATAATGCTCTGCTTGATGCTGGAAGTTGCAACAGGCATAATCTGTTGCACTGGTCACAATGAGAAAGGTCTGACATAACAAGCAGTTCAGTTTCTTCAGTAGCAATCATGTCAGTAGCAGTGGCCACTGCAACTGTGTGCTACTGCACCCTACGTTTCGATCTGTACCTAATGAGGAGTATCAAGCACCTGCCACACTCAATTGCCAAGGATGATTCTGAAGTTGAGAATCTTACAACCGTTTGCCAGTGGAGCTTGTGGTCCACAGATAAATGGCTGCTACGTCATGACACCAGGTTAAACAGTGCATGTGATGCTACTGTATGTATTTGCTTATATCGTTTATTGTCTGTAATATTGTTGTTGTTATTGTTGCGTGTGTTGCGCAGGTCGCGACTTCATCAACCAGCCCAGGAGCAAGCAAGTCAAGATATTGTCTCAGGGTGGTGGGGTGGTGTTCTCTCGTGCAGAACCCAAGCACAAGCAGGACATTGTGCGCCTGCTGAAGGACATTGGAGAGGTCACTGCCATGACTGGTGACGGCGTGAACGACGCACCCGCCTTGAAGCTGGCAGACATTGGGATCGCGATGGGCATCGCAGGTGGTTGGCAAAGGGGTGCCTTGGATCTGTTGCCTGTCATGCCAGGTGGAATTACTACCATAGTTGTCTTGTTTTCTTGTAGAGAGATATATGCCGATCAGGTAGTAGTTCTTTGGTTGGGATGCAGGGTGTGCAGACCAGCTATTGAGCTGCCCGGTAACACGACAGCTTGGAACAGAAAGACTGGAGAACGAAATGGATGCCCAGCTGCTCCCAGTTTGAATGCTGCATTTGTGGCATCATATTGCAAATGTTTGGAATGTCTTTGGACAACCAATTTGTTTTAGGGGCATACAGTGCCTGTGCAAGCTGGAAAGGAGTCACTGAGAGTGGCATGAAATGGCATCAGGGACTGAGGTAGCAAAGGAGGCCTCTGACATGGTTCTGGCGGATGATAACTTCGCAACGATCGTCAATGCTGTTGGAGAGGGTCGTTCAATTTACAACAACATGAAGGTGGGCGGCAACTGGGAGCTAAATAGTGTTTCTTGTTTGCAAAGTGTGGCATATTTTGCATTTAACGATTTTGAAGGTTATGGCAATGATATTTGATAGTGATAACTATGAAGTTGTGATGTGAACTTGGGATTTGACAACAACTGTATGAGGACTGGACTGGACTGGAAACAATGCTGCTTGAAATAGAGAGAAGTGCCAGCTGCATGTCTTTTGCGAATGCAAAGTATTTGTCCATAGATTTCTGACTTCTGTTGTACGCCCACCTCTCTGTGCAGTGTTTTTGCATGCTTACAGTGTCAAGTCGCAGCCTGACCTGTGCCCAAGGGGCGTTGGGGTTCAGGGCACAGACAGTGTGGTTGTTGGGTGTTTGAAGGTGTGTGGGCGGAGGGTCCACTGGCCCAGACCTGGAATATAGTCACACTCCACTTGGCTAACATTTGTTCATTACCTCCATCTGCAATGCTGCTCAGCCTTGCAATCGAGTGCTATTAGTGCCTTGCACTGTTGGTGGCAGTGTATAGCCTTGCATTGTGTAATGTCGTATTTGAACATCATAGAGCAGGCACAAATGGGGCACTTGACAACATACAAAGGCGCTGAGGCTCGTTCGCATGCATTCCTTTCAGGCATTCATCCGTTACATGATCTCGTCTAACATCGGTGAGGTGGCGTCCATCTTCTTCACTGCTGCCTTGGGCCTTCCCGAGGGCCTCATTCCTGTTCAGCTTCTGTGGGTCAACCTGGTAACGGATGGGCCCCCTGCCACGGCACTAGGATTCAACCCCCCAGATCTGGACATCATGGAGAAGCCACCACGGCTGCGTGATGAGCACTTGGTGACGCCCTGGCTGTTCTTTCGGTGGATGGTCATTGGGCTGTATGTGGGATTTGCCACGGTGAGCCTGTGCACTTTAACAGGAGCCAAAATCGAGCCATGAGCCGAAATCGCCAAACTGCCAAACAGATTGCTTCTGGTGGTGTGCGCTGTCTTTTGACCATGGTCAGTTCAATAGTTTCGTGACGAACACAGGTTTTAGTGCGCACCCTGGATGCATAGCCGTTTAAAATGCTGGGGTAGCTTAACCAGTTTGCTTGGTCTGAGTTATGGCAAGGACGACAGCTGGCAAAGATTGTCATATGTTTCTGCATCTGTTACTGTAGTAGCCAATTGGTTACTTGGCATCAGGGTGACAGGAACCTGCATCTCCTGGACAGTTGTGCCATCAGTATCTAACGAGTCTGACACATCCACAGCGCCTACTCTGCCACATGTCCCGGCCGAGAAGCACTCCAACACTGAAGCACAAATGCCCTTACACGGAATTGCACACTTGTGTCAGCACACATGTGCAGGGCAGATGTTCAAGAATGGCCGTTGGCTATCAGCCTGCAAGAGACAGATCTGTTTCTCCTGTCTACCCTGCAGGTGGGAGCCTTTGTGAGCTGGTACATGTATGAGCGTGTCCTCTTCATCGACCTGTCCCAGGATGGCCACTCCACAGTGACCTGGGACCAGCTGACTCACTGGGAGGAGTGCCCCACCTGGGAGGGCTTCACTGTGTCCAACTACACGGCCCTTGGCCAGACTTTCACCTTCCCTGACCCCTGCGACTACTTCGACGAGGGCAAGGCCAAGGCGACCACACTGTCCCTCTCCGTGCTGGTGGCGATCGAGATGTTCAACGCGCTCAACGCCCTCTCGGAAGACAACTCGCTGGTCCAGATGCCGCCCTGGTGCAACCCCTGGCTGCTGGTGGCGATGAGCCTGTCCTTTGGACTGCACTTTGTTATCCTGTACGTGCCCTGGCTTGCAGCGATCTTCAGCATCGTGCCGCTGTCAGTGAACGAGTGGATGCTGGTGCTGCTGTTCGCCCTCCCGGTGATCCTGATCGACGAGGTGCTGAAATATGTGGGGCGGCAGTTGAACCGAGCGGCAAAGGTGAAGCTGGAGTGACAGGCAGTTGCTCCCCCCTCCCGGGCGGGGCGGGGTCCCTTTTTGAAGGGGGATGTGCGTGGAGGGCTGGCTTGGAAATTGGTTCATTTGATATTTGTGCGGCACTCGACTTTGGGAGCATGAGTGAGGCCGGAGCTGAGCTGGGGTCTTTGCCGCAAGTCAAGCAGCCAGTGCCGGGCGCCGCCCAGCACACGTGGGATTGTTGCGCTCGCTGAAGGGCCCTTTCCTAGCCCTGGCTCATACCAGCTTGAGAGGAGGCGATGAGCGCAATCTGGGAACATCCCTTGTCTTCGGCCTAAACTCCACGATGGAGGGGAGCCGAACTGTGTGCGCGAGTGTGCCCATTCTGGGGATAGCAAGGAGATGTGCATGCGGCCCGCGCTGCTGGGGGACGTGCTCGAGGGTATGGAATGCATTTGCTTCGCTAGAATTCTTTAACCAGGGGAGTTGGGGATTCCTCTGGTGCCACTGCTGTGTGTTCCCTGTGCCTGGGTATGAACCTGACTCGGGCTCAAGGGATCTGGGGCACGGGTCTTAGTTCTTTACTAGTATTTTGGGACCGCTGGGGCTTTCAGGACTGGGGCTTGGAAGACAGTCGCACTCCTTATGTGACAGGTGCCCAGCGCTTTGCAGACAAGTGGCGTTTTGTGACATGCAGGCCTTAGGAAACCAACTCCGACTTTGATGCCGCTCTTGGGCACGCTGTGGCCTCTGTGGGATAAGGGGTCGCTGCAAATAACATCTGGCAGTCTGCGGTGCATGCTCCTTCACCCCATTGGGAGTAGTTTAGGGGGGAGGACGCGGAGTTCATTTGTTGTGTGGTATTTTTTCTGGCTGCACGCTTCAACTGTGTGTTGCGCTGTGTGCTGATTGGAGTGCTCTCTCTAGCGCCTCTGAGTTGCTGATCTGAATATCGATATTGCTGTTGGATCTTATAGTTTGCAACATTTGCAAACACTTGCAGCTGAGCGCAAAACACTCTTTGCAAAAGGGCATGCAGCAGAGCTGACCTTGCGACTTGAAGCAGAGGCATCAGGAATACTGCAAGCATTCAGCGTTTTGTTGGCAAGAATCGCGTGGATTGGGTGCCAACCAGCATCGTGGGACCAGGCAAATGCCATTTCAATACTGCTCCTGTGCAGGCTGCTGCACAAACCTGGCCAGTGCCTCACCCACTGCCAATCAAACGGAGTGCAGCGGTGACCCTTGCCCCCAGTTGACACGGAATCAATGAGTGAAACAAAGTATGCAGACAATGTCCCACAAAATGTTCACAACTCGCCTCGCTGCACGCTCACACCTTGCCATATGTTCACGGCATGACGTCTCCCATCACAACTGTTTACAACTCTATGTACAGCCACTGTGAGGGTGCCCATCATCCACTACACAGATCAGAGCCTGCGTGATCATCCATAACAAACAGGCCCTCCTCATCAAGCCACTGAGAACTATATGTGGTTCAACCAGGGTTTGGGAAAGGCATTAATAGTAACAGGTGGTCCTGCCCCATGCAGCCTTGACCAGCAGATAAGGGGTTTGTGCAGACACAGGCTACACAACTCCATGTCATCAAAATACGGCGCCAGACTGGAGATGTCTCTGCATCTTCGCACAGCCAACAAAACCAGTGCACACCAACACTTCGCCCCAATGGAGCGGCTTGTCTCCAGCACTGCTCTGGCTGACCGATGTCAACACCATCCAGTACCTGCCACCTGACAAGTGCAGGTAGATCTCAAACAAGAAAACAGGGCTGCGCCACGCTGTTGCGCGTCGCACTCGGTGGCCCACACCGCGGTCGGACTGTGCTCCATAAGAACTCCAACAGTGGTCCACACGCTTACGAAGTTTATTAAGTACACACAGCAGGCCCGTTCAGGGCCATCCCACGTTCTGCAACAGGCCAGATCTGCTCCCCAACGTGGGGCACCTCCCCCAGGGCGCTGCGTCCTGATAACCGACCCTACCCAAACAAAATTCTCTGCATCCGTTCCACACGTCACCTTGCACCATCCGATTGACCCCACCACTTGGCCACAGCCTTCCCAACCTGTACCCTCCACCCCACAGCACACTCTTCCTCCACAACCGGCAACCAGGGCTCGTCCCAGCTCGCGCCTCGCCCCCGCGCCGCGCCCGCCGGGGTCCTCAGAAGATTATGCTGCTCTGCATGTTCTTGGCTCTGATGCTGGTGGCTTCCCTCTTGTTCTTCGCTATCTGCTCGTCTGTTGTGGGCGCCATAGCCGCCGGCGTCTGCTCGCTGGCGTCGCCCAGCAGCTCCAGGCTCACCACCTGGATCCCCCGCGCCCTCAGCGCGGTCTTCATCCCCTCGATGTCCCCACGCCCGATGTCGAAGTCGTTGGTAATCTCCTCCACCGTCTGCCGGCCGTTGGCGTGCGTCACCAGCACCCGCCGGTTCGTCGTGTTCTCGCACCAGCCCTCCCCGCCGCTGATGTGCCACGCGTTCCGAATCATCAGCTCAAAGTAGTCGTCGTCGTCGATCGAGGCGCTGACGCTCTGGTAGTACCGCGAGAACTCCTCATTGGAGACGATCCCGTCCGCCTCCCCGCACTCGAACGTCGCCAGGAACTCCTTCAACACCTCCGTCTTGGTCTTCAGCCCGGCCTGCACATCCGGGTGCTGGCTCACGTCATACCTGCCCACCACGTCCTGCAGGTCCACCTGCCCATCGCCGTTGGCGTCCAGCACGCCGTAAGCCTGGTCCACCATCATCTGCCTCCGCGAGTTCATCTCCCCCCGTAGGCCGACCAGGAACTCGTCGTAGGTGATCACCCCGTTGCAGTCCGCGTCAAAGTACCTAAACATCGCGTTGAGCGCGCTCTCGTCCAAGTTCATCTCCCGCATCGCCTTGCTGAACTCCTCGTAGTTCAGCGTCTTGCTGCCGTCGTCGTCCATAGACCGGAACTTGTGCCCCAGCGACAGGATGCCGTGGCAGCCGCGCGCCTTGAGCGTGGCCTTCAGGTGGGCCACCACTGCGCAGCACTTGGCGTACACCGCCTCGGGCACGTCCGGCATCTGGGCGAGCCCGTTGGCACCCGCGTCGCTGGCGATCGGGGCGTACTGGTAGGCCATCTTTCGGCGTCCAAAGGCCGGTTAGGACCCGCTAAAGTGGATGGAGGCCTGTGTGGGTAAAGGGGGGAGAGGGGGGAGGGGGGGCTGCCTGGGTTCGCGCTTGCTGGGCCGGAGCGGGTCAGCGGGCGGAAGGGTGGCGGAACAGAGAGAGACCGGGCTCTTGTGCGCGCGGGCGGCGGGTAGTTCACTGGGCGATTTTCGTGAGGGGAGTGAGGCCGGCTCAAGGATCAATCAGCCGGATCGTGGGGATCTGGATGGGCAGGGGCCGCCGGAAACCCTTTCGCCGCGCTCTAAACTACTGAGGCCTGCTCTCGCCGGCGGATATTGTCGTTAAAAGCTGTCAAGCTGACAAAATCATTACCTGAGGAGGAAACGGGAGGCGCCGAACTCCCCCACGACCCCTCTTGGCGGTTTGAAACCACCTGGGCTGGCCCCTGCCGCCGAAGTGCGGCGGGGTGGGCGGCTGGGGGGAGGCGTTTTGGGTGCCCGTCCCGTCCCCGCCATGGACCTGGTGGTCATCACGCCGCCTGTCGCCCTGGCGGGAGAGGTGGAAACGGCGAACCGCCTGTTCGGGGCGGGCCTTGGCCGGTTGCACCTCAGGAGGCCCGGCTTCGAGGAGGCGGAGGTGGAGGCGTACGTGGCAGGCGTGGATGCAGCCTTCCGGGGAAGGGTCGTGGTGCACGGCCATCACCGATTGGCGGGCCGGTGGCGCCTAAAGGTACGCGCCCATTTGTTTTGTCATCAATTGGTGAGCTGGTGCGTCGTCATTTCATTGGAAGGGAAACACGTCAAACAATGGGCAAACCACGATCCCCAGCAAGGTTTTCTGTGAGACATCTTCAATACTGTGGATGGCGAGGCAATGGACTACGAGTGCAGCATGCACAGCGAAAACGACACAGATTGCTCCTTTCAGCCAAGGGATTGTATCTTATGTTGTGCCACATTCACGTTGAATCAAGGTGGAATGACTTCATATCACTATCCGGCGTATCATGGTCTGCACTTCTTTCTCTAGAAGTCATGTGCCCATTTATGTGTCTGAACTCACATAAGCCCGTAGATCACTGCACAACTTCAACTGATATCCAAATGCCAATATAGCTGCCACGTACTGCAGAGAAATGAGCAGAGATAAAAAAATTGTTTACAACTGGGTGGTTCAGTGGGGTATCTCACAAAAACAGAGGTTATTCTGCACTTTCGTGTGTCCCAGATGCGCTGATTGGTGTGCAACTATATGGCAGTGAAAACAAAATATGGAGGGAAAAGTGTCACCTGGGTTGTTGGGGTGGGTGTGGCTGCTCTATGGTATTGTTGTCGATTCAGTAGCACTGACTCAGTAAGGGAGCAGTCAGCTGTGAGCAAAGATGCAACTAAATATTGCTCACAACTAAAATTCCTGTACTGACACGAGCATGAGCAGGGAAGCTGTATCTGAACAGTGTTTCTGCACTTGCGCGGCAGGGAATCCACTACACTGAGAGCACAAGGCCCCCGTTTCCAATCCCATCCCCTGAGCCTCCCCTGACTGTGTCCACATCCTTCCACCAGCTTGACCAACTCAAAATAACCGACTACGGTGCATTAAATTATGCGTTCCTCAGCCCTATATTTGACAGCATCTCCAAGCCTGGCCTCAAGGCTTCCATGTTCGACTGCACATCGCTGATGGCTGCACTTTTGTCCTGCCCCATCCCCATCTTTGCCTTGGGGGGCATAGCTCCAGACAAGGTGCCATCAGCCGCGGCGTTGGGCTTCTCAGGTGTTGCTGTTCTGGGATCCATCTGGCAGAGCAGCGACCCTGTGGCAGCCTTCCTGGAGCTGAAGGAGGCCTGCGATCGGGTGGGGCCTGGGAAGAGCACATCTGGATGACTGGATGCAGTTCCAGACATCACAATGGCTGAGCTCCCCCAGATTCCCTCTCTGAAGATAATTGCTGAAAGCTGCAGCACAGAGCTGGAGCTGAAAGCGCTTCCACCAATAGTGTGTCCACCCAGTGAGGATGTGGGACTGTGCAGACACTGCGCAGCATGCGATCGGCCACATTCCAGGAGAAAACGCTCCAGGAAGTCTACAGGAAGGGCACTTGAGGCGCTATAGAGCAACCGCAAGGTTTGCCCTGTGCAGCGGCAATACAGCAAGGTTTGTGCAACACCATCTAGCAAGCCAATGTCCCATCCGCAGGCCACTTGCATCATGCTACTTATCATGCTTGTGTATCCCCCGAATTAGCACCCTACGATTGGCGCCTCTGTTCACAATCGCTGGCATTGTCGTCCCTGTGTTCAAGTTTATTAAGTACAACTCTACCTATTGGCCACTCTTGTTGTCCGAAAGGAAAGCCAGACTCAGAACCGTACAATGGGCCCAGCCAGAACTTTTACCCTAATTATTCTTTGCGGCCACAGCTATGCTGTTTCTTCAGGTATGTTCTTTCTTCAGCTATGCTCTTCTGACGGTCATCTTCCAAGTGCACAATGTTGTGCATGGAGTCAACCTCATGTACCAGGCCTAAAATGGAAGCACCAAAGACAAGTAACATGGCATGGAGCTGTATCCATAAGCCTGTCTTTTGTCTTGCTTGAAGGTTAAGGTCATGTGACAACGTGGTCATGTGCAGCCGCTCAGACAGCATTTGCATTGATTGGCCACTGCTTAGAATGGCATCCAGTCTTGAATGTCTTGCACGCCAGCTTCATTTGTGCTTTGGCTGGTCCCAGACGGGAGGTGACACAGGTGCTGTGGTTGCATGCAGGTATGCAGCGAAGTTGTCCGTAGGGAGTGGAGATAACCAAGGCCATGGAACACAGGAACCAGGGTGCAACTGCCATGCTGGCAGCATGTGAATATGTTAGCGCTTTCGGGATAGGTAGCTACCTTGGAGCCACTTGATGACTTTTGTTGACTCCCTCTCGCCTCTTACCCGCCTCTTTCTTTATAAGATGTGCACACACACACACACACCCTTTTCCGAATGCCTCTGCATGCAATGGGTTGTTGTGGTGCTTCTCCTTTGTTGGCTGCGTAGTGCACAGCAGTCTAGTTCTGGTGCTGGATGAGCAGCTGCTCGTGGGCACTGTCGATGTACTAGCATGTGACAAGACAGTTTTCTGTACTGAGCTATTCGACACTGAAGACACAACATCTGGTGCTCGTGACAATGCGTCAGTTTGCAGCTCAAATCGCAACAGACAGTTGCAAACCACGTTGGTTTTTGGCATCTAAACCAAATGAGTCCATTTCACCTCGAACGCCATGGTTCATGGGTAGTTCTGGAATTGAGAATCTTGTCAGTGACACTACACATCTTTTCAGTGATCAGTGGATGATGCTCCATCGCCGGCAGACGAGGCTTGACGACGACTTCCCGTCCATTAAAGCCACAAGCGCAACATGTACTAAGAATGGAATGCATGCAACAGCACCGAGGTGCAGATGCAACGTTTTCAACAGCTGATATATGATCACAAGTCTGAAGGTCTGGCCCCAGCAAGATGTCTCCCCCTACCCAGAGTCAGATGTGCACACAGTCAATTGGGCCAAGAAGTACCAAGGGAGCCAAGGTGGCTTGATGCCATCAACCGTCGAGGCCAAGTCTCATCTAACTAGCATCGAAAAGACGGCGAGCGCCATTCCCCAAAATTGAGAAATTGATCTTTGAACCTTGTTCAAGCGCTCACATTGGCCTGTGCTTGGGAACCCCAAAGCCCAATTTCCATAGGTGTCGTTCAGGGGTGCCTTGGGACTGCTGCACAGCTTTCGCAGTGCAACCCCTCATTCCCCCCCCCTTCACGCCAGCTGGCCCTGCTCTGCTCAAAGGGTGCAACGTCGTCCTACCTGCACCATGGCATACACACCCAACCCCCCTCCTCCACCCCCCTTCCCCTTCTACCCCCTTGAACCCATGTGGCACCCAGCCCAGCCATGCTCAGTTCCCGTCCAACCCCTCGCTGGGACACTCCTTCCTCACGACCACCGTGTTCAGGGGCTTCTCCAGATCCAGCTCCACAGCCTCGTACGTCTCGTCCTCCTCCGTGAGCGTCTCGCACGCCTCCTGGAACATCACCCTTCCCTCCGTGGCGAAGAACTGCGAGTACTGGTACCGATTGCCGGACAGCTCCACGTTCTTGCACCCCTTGTGGAACACCTCCCCGCCCCGCAGGTGCGCCACGTTGTGCACGAAGTCGCTGCGCACTATCCGGACGTCCGTGCACGCCAGCCCGTCCTCCGCCATGCACTCCAGCTGCAGGCGGTCCTCCGACATCGCCTCCGGCGACTCGCCGGAGCAGGCGGTCTGGCTGATCGCGCCGCCGGCCAGCCGCGCGGAATTTGCCTGAAACCTGCAGCCCACCACCTCCGTGCTGTCACAGTTCCACTGGTACAGGGCGCCGCCCAGCATCCCAGCCCTGTTCGCCAGGAAAACGCACTCCTCCAGCCTCGTCTCCGGCGTGATCGACATCGCGATGGCCGCCCCCACCGGCGCGGAGTTGTTCTCGAATATGCAGTTCGTGAAGGACTGCGTGGAGCCGGGAGCGCCGCCGAAGATCGACACGGCGCCGCCGAACTTCCTGCCGTGGTTGAGGTTGAAGAAGCACGCCTGGACGTCCACGGCGCTGTCGCGCACCGTCAGGGCGCCGTCGTCGCCAATGTTCTCGTTGAACTCGCTGCCCAGGATCGACCCAGCGGCCCCGCGCTCCAAGAGTACGCCCGCGCCGCCCGCGCCGCCGCCGTTGGTCTCGAAGACCGACCCGAAGATGCCTATGCGCCCGCCGTCCATCACAATCGCGCTGCCGTTCAGCGCCGAGTTCATGTTAAAGTCAACGTGGGAGATATTCGCGCTGACGTCCTCCGTGGCCATGAAAGCCGAGGCGCCGGGCTGGAGCGCCTGGTTGCCCCGGAAGACCGACTGGTCGATCAGCACCGTGGCCATTCGGGATGCCATGACGGCACCGGACGCCGGTCCGGCGCCCTCCCCTGTCCCGGTGTTGCCCAGGAACAGGCTGTTCAGGATGGTGACATCGCCGCCGGCGGCGACAACGGCGCCGGCCCTCGCGCCCGAGTTCGCGCGGAAAGTGCAGTTACGGAACCGCAGGGTGCTGTCCGAGGCGTGCACCACCCCCGCGTCCGCCATCGAGTTCCTGTCAAACTCGGACTCCAAAAACTGCATCGTGGTGGACTCAATCCGGACGGGCGCCTGGCCGGTCCCCACCAGGTCATCGATTTCAGAGTCCCTGATGGTGATCGGCGGCAGGGAGTCGAACGTGAGGTAGGCGTCCTGCGGCGAGCCAGCGACCAAGCTTGCCCCCGGCACCGTTTCTCCCAGCAGGTCCACCACCACCGGATTCGCGTTGATCGTCACCGGGGTCCCTGGGCCTGTGCATTCTATGCCAGCATCTGTGACCGTAGGCACCTGATCCGCCGATCCCACCTCGCCCCTCAGCAGAATGCTGCAGGTTATGTCCGTCTCGAAGTCCTCGGCATCAGCAGTGCCCTGACCCACCGCGGCCTTAGCTAGAAGAGTCAGAAGGAAGGCTGCCACTAAGCTGCGCCGCAGGGGGGCTAATAAGTGCCCTGCGGGCGCTGTGGCAGTCAACATCTTAGGAGACCCTTTCCGCAGTCACACCACGGCCACCGACGTTTGGGTACCTCGGTTGCCTTGGACCTTTGCCTTTGCCCACAGAATTTCTCCCCAACTGTTCACAGTCCGCGCATGCACGGTAGCTGACCTGCACCAACACTCATGATGTGGTTCAATTGCAACGAAGAATACTGATGGAAAGGGCGGGCAATCCCCTGAAAAACTGTGTTCTGACGTCGCGCTCCTGGTGGCTACTATCATGCGAACGTGCGGAAATATGCATGGCTCCAAGAATAGAGTACTGTTCGTGCCTATGCATCCGCATCAAGACACGTCCTGGCACAAACCGCCCCAGGGCATGCACTGCGCAGGAGCCGCAGGGCTCAGAGACTGAGCCACGGCAGGGCGTTCGACAAGCTTTCTAGCCCTTCCAACGAAACTTCTTGGCTCCTCACTCTTTTCCGCATGCATTTCCAGTACAAAACAAATCTGTCGGTGGCAGATTCCCTTGATCGGACCCTTGAGGCTGAGTTTCAGGCGCACCCAAAACGGTTCTTTATTCTCAACCCAGAGGGGATCAACGGCACCTAGGGGCAGAGGAGCTTTTCCAGTCCTTTGCCTGTCCCTCGCACGGCAAGTTACGTCATGCCCACACTGACAACCCCGGAGGAGCGTGTCAGCGTGCCTATGCCCATCGGCGAGGGATCCTCATCAAGATTCGGCCCCGTGTGGCGCCAAAGCTGCCGGCAGCGGCTGCGCAAACGATGCGTTGACAGGCACTTCCACCTGGCACGCGTGGAGAGCTCGAGGGGCGCTTGCGACCCTTGTTCTCGCAATCGCACTCGCAAGGGCGCGCAATGGGTCGCGGCTCGCCCCAGCGCCGCGGATCTGCCGAGCTACCGCACCTCTGCGGGCCCGTCCTCAACGATGAAAGGAAATACGGGGCTGGCGGGAGATTATTTGCCGAGAGCGATCTCGCAGGCCTACGGGGCCAGTCTCAGCCCGGGAGAACGCGGGGGCACACTCGCCTGACTGCGAGCGTGTGATACCCCTCGTCCAGGTGTGCGCCGTGTCGCACCTTGGTCTGCGGGGCGGTGGAGGGGGGCCTCTCAGACGCCGTGGGGCAGGGTGTCAGTTGGATGGTCACATCCGCCAGAGTTCCAAAATATTCAACGTGTCGGGGGCGCTGCAAACGTGACTCACTGGGCCACGCCGTTCCTCTTGGCCCCATTCACACATTGCGTGGCGCAGGCACGACTGCACAACCACCCATCACCCACCCGCGCTTCTGCTTGGGGGAACAGTGCGTCCCGCGTTCACCCGCCTCTAAGTGTGACTGCTGGTGAGTCACAACCACCAGTTGTTGCACAAATGAGCTACGGCGCAACCCAATACAGTAGGGGTCCCTATATAGCGCCCCCCTAATAGCGCCCCCGGCCCCCAATAGCGCCCCCTTTTCTGGCTTGTCACCATTTCTGTAGTACTTTATGCAGCATTGCTGCACAGTGGGACCTCAAACTACTATTGCGGACAACCAAACACACCCAAGAGACGTGTCTGGTGGACTGATGGCGCAGTGGCCATTTGTTTCAACGAACTTGGCATATCGCGGACGGGCGGACGGCACGTCCGGTGCGTCCACTGTGGGCCCGGGCCCAGGGCCTCCCCAGGAGGCCAAGGGAGGTGTGTGTTCCATGGCGGATCTCCATCTATGCACAGTGAAGTGGGCACTGCCCACCTGACTCCTTGCAGCCAGCAGAATGGAGGGATAGGGAGGGGTGTCCAATGCCGCGGCTTCCATTCTTTCTCTCTCATCATCATCATACAAATCTATCTCCATATCCCTGCTTGTATCCTCATCGTTGCTTGGAGTTCCGTCTTCCATGAAATCCGGGCCGCAGGGGTATCCATCATTGCAGTCGCCCTCATCATCATCAAAAAAGCTCTTGATCAATTGCTTTGGCATCACAACCGATTTGTGCACCGGGCGCTTTGATGCTCGCATTGGCCGACAGGCTGGGCAGTAGCGCCTCACACAGCAGCCTCCCCATTGCAAATCCTTACCACACGAGCAGGATCCGCACCATGCATGCATAAGGATATTGCAGCCAAGGCACCTATAAACTGCAAAGGACGGTGGTCCATTTTGGCCGTCGTCCCCGGAGATAGCACAATAAATTCACCCTCAAACATGCAGTTGAGCCATGTCAACAGCCTCAGCACCTCAGCAGTTGAGAGTGCACTCAACGAACAAGCTTTGCCCCTCACGCGAACGGTCTCTTCACAAAGAACTGCTTGGCACGCCGACAAGACCAACAAAATAGCGGCAACAGCAAGGGGAAGCTTCAAAAGGGTAGCAACACCACCACTGCCAGCCAACCATGCAAGTATGTTTGTGGAAACTCTTGCAGGTTCCGCTCAGAGTACCCCAACTGGTCGCAACTGCTTCTTAACGGTCGACGAAGTCAAAACAGAGGTCAGGTCCCAGGGTCAGGGCTGCCTTGTCCACAACACGTTGGTGTATGACACGGGGAATGCTTCTCTCCGCCTCGACAAGGCTATACAATGACGAGGCTTGATGTGTTCTGGTCGGCAACTAGACCATGCTGGAGGTGCTGGTCTCGAACGGCAAGGAAGCGCCTTGAAAACAAGGCCCAGACTGGCTACGACCTTCGAAAAGGTCGTGCGCTATTGTGCTCAGGCCGTGGCGAGCCTTGCGCGCACGGTCAGGAGGGCTAGGCAGCCAGACTGAGCGCCTAGACCGCCACGCGAGAGACACACACCCCCCTCGCAACCGTTCTTATAGGTGCCAGGCCGAGTGCAACAATACAGAGTTCCCCTTCGCGCTGTCCGCACCCCTTTGGCAAAAATACCACCATTCCAAAGAGATGCTTTTTTCATACCCGGAATTTTTCTGCCACGCCTGCTGCTTCACCACAACGCAACCCAGGATGCCCCACTGCCCACAATCAGCCACTGCATGTGCCCCAAGGGCCACATTCTCACCAAGCACCCACACTTCCCGTGGTCGGCAACCACATTATGCCCCACGGGATATATTCCCATCAAACAAGCACGTGGTGTCTCAACGCGCCCCTCCTGGCTCCATCTCGCCACGATCCACGGCAAGTCGCCAGGCGGGCAGCTTCTAAACAAACACACGTGTCCAGTAGCAACCCAGGTGATCCTCAATATTCCAAGGCATGTTTGGGGCATGTTTGACTCATGTGTCTCCGTGTGATGCACTGCCACGTATTGGCGTTGTGTTCGGCATCTTTATAGTATCTCAGTGAACTCTTAGGACATATGATGCAGTTGCCATCATCTATCTTTGTCATCAAAGTCATCTCCATGCATTCTGAGTGCCTTGAGCTTGCAATTTGATGATGGTCAGTGTGGCGAAGGTGCTGAGGCTGTTGACATCTCTCTGCATCGTATCTAGACCTCATGGGTCGCCAACTGAGTGATATTATTAATGCACTAACTTTTTGATGAGCCCTATTAATTTGCGACCCGAACAGAACGCCACTGACCCCAGCACTGATTTGGCAGACTGGGCACACCAGTCGTGCAGCCATCGCACGCCCACGATGATCACAACAGTGCTGCCACGCTGCTGCGCCCCCACGTCGCCGCACCGCCACGCGGCCACCCCGCTACGTTGCCACACTGCCACGCTGCTGCGTTGGCACACTGCCACTTGACGCTGTCGCTGGGCCCCGCCACAGTGCCAGCCGGTCATTACCCAAAACCATATTGACTAAAACTACAATCAAATGCATTAAACAAAGTTAACACAATAGCGTCCCCGGCCCCCAATAGCGCCCCCCTCGTGGCCATGTCACGGGGGGGGCGCTATATAGGGACCCCTACTGTACCCCAATGCACAAAGCACCAGAGGAAGTTCTGCAGCCAACCAGAACGGCATTCTGGTTGGCTGCACAGGTTACTTTGGTGAGGCTACTGTGAGGTCCGATTATTCTTCTGGGTGACATTCTGAGAATGTAAGGCTGCTGTAACCACAATCCTCACAATCCTCTCAATGGGATCCAAGGTGGCCCTCTTGTCAAGGGACGAGTCAGCTCTCCCCCTGAGTCAGCTCAGGTATCCCCCTAGACATGGCAGCCATTCTGGTGGAATCCTTAGTCCTCAGCTTCCTCCAGGTCCACCGTGGGTCACATCATCCCCTATGTGTGCAAAATTGTCTCAGAAACGGTCCTCATGGGCGACGTCCTTGAACAAAAATCTTGCTTCCTTCCCTTGTCAGGAATCTCTGCTGGAACTCCATATTGCATACGCTCCCTTATTTTGATGGCAAGGATGCGAACATGCTCAAGAAAATGGTAATGACTGTTCATGTAGCAACATGAGCTCCACCAATTCGTTCAATGGATCAATCATGCTTCAGGGTAAGCAATTGCTCTGCATTTGAACAGAGCGACTGATGTTGCATTGGATGGCTCGAGCAGAGCCCACCCCGAAATTTATTCAGAATACTCATGAAGTTCTTCGATAAAGCGCTAGACAATTTTGACATCATTTGGCTCCCGGGATGCCTTTTGACACTCGATGTTGGTCTTGGAAAACATGAATTTGTGTAAAAAGCGCTCTGCTGTTCAGAAAGAAACGCCTTGCTCAGGGAATCTTGTCCGAAGAGAATGTTGCGAGGAAGTTGTGGTGTGCGTTCCCACGAGTTTGCAGCGCTTTGATTATTCTCTTTATTCACTTTGGTTGCCAACTATTCAGTTCTTGCAAATGACAATACGAAGTATATGAGCAGCCAGGAATGCGGTGTTTGAGTGATTTTTTGAGTTGAAGGACTGGACTGCTGTCCATTTTTTCCCCAGCCACTCTGTTCTCAGTGGTAGTGGGAGTCTGAGCTCTAGTCTTTGTCTTGTACTTGGCTATGCGCTGAGTTGGCACATGACTGAACTGTTGTGTGTGCGTTTGTGAATAGTGAGCATTCCGTGCACACAAATAGGCAGGCGACTGGTTGCGAGATAAAAGAAAACTGGTCATGGTTTATGTTGCCTTTGGAAAGGGAGTTGTCTTCAAGCTCGGAGGCCGACCAACAAATATGTAAGAACAAGCTCCATATGGGAGCTGTCTGGTCAGTCCGCGTGTGGGTGTCGTTGGGCCGATAATGAGCGTGAAGTTTGCGCTTCTTATAGCCCTCCGGGATAGCGGTTTGAACCATCACTGAACAAGCCAACCTTAGCGGCGACGTCATCATCCCTTTCAAGCGCATGCAATCCAAGACCAGCATGCATTGCGCCTTGGGACATGCAATCAGCCTAATGTCCCTATGTTTCTCGTCTTCGTCGACCATCCCCACTCTTCTCAGCTCTTGAATTGGACATGCACTCCGCAAGCTTCTCCACACTCCATGCATCATCCACCGAAAACTCTCCTATTCCAGTGCGGCGCAATGCCGTCATGTGAGCCCCACAACCCAGCGTTTGGCCCAAGTCATGGACGAGCGATCGCACATAAGTGCCCTTGCTGCAAACTATGCTGAAGTTCAGGTCCTGTCCGCCCCCATCGCTCCTGGGGCTGATTTCGAACTCCGACACAAATACTGAACGGGCAGGCCTGTTCCACATGTGCCAATGGTGCAAGTCAGAGCTGTTGAGCAGCCAAGGAATATTGCAATTCCGAGAGCGACAAGGCAGTTGATAACACCCTCATTCCGCCCCAGAATAGATTGTTGGCAGCAGATAGTTCAGCGAGAGTCCAGGCTACAGCAGGGCATTCATTGTAGCAAAAAGGAGAAATATGTCACACAATGGATATTACCTAATGGGCAAACAAATGGCGGCACCATGTCCTGGCTACAACACCACCAAGTGTGTGGCTTTAAAGTTCTTCTTCGACAGCTAGTAAAGCATATTCACCCACAGGCACACAGAATTCAAGGTATTTTAGCTGCACAATCAGTTGCCAATGTACCAGCTCAAGGATACTGCTGACATATTTCAATGCGATTCCTGCATCCCACTGTCGGTGTTTTAATGAGCCGTTGTGGAATGGAGAGCGTTCTCCATTCCTCAGTTGGCATTAGAATTGAACTCTGCAGACGAACGCCTGCATTCCTGCCGTTTCTGCCACGCTGTCATTTTCTATTCTAGCTTGAAACAACATCCACAGTGTCACTGGCATATAACACCATCACAGCAGTCCATGCAGCGCTCCACAAACCACAGTTGTAAATGTCATGCGATTCACTGCAGTGAGAACGCTTCTAGACCAGTTCGCAGTAGCCGTGCAAGCCCTCTAAATGTCCATTCAATTGTGATTCAGGTGGGCAACACTGGTTTCACTCAGGGATGGGGTTTAAGGTCGCAGACATTCTCTTGACTTACAGCAGCAAGGGACTGAGAAACAAGTGCTGAACTGAGGTTTAAGATCAAGGCCTCTACAAGGCATCGGACATTACACACACAATAGCAGCACAAGACAACAACACAAACATTGCAAACTTTACAATGAGGGTCTCCACTATCAATCTGGTACACTGCAATTTACCAGCACAACCGCACGGGCACTTTTGGCATTCTGCACAAGATAGAAAACAGAGGGGAGAGCAGTCTGTTCCAGCACACCTTTCAACTTTTTCACCCTTCCTTGCCAATTCATACAACCTTTTGCCCTTCACCTTGATGGCTGAATGCATGGGCGGTGTCTGTTGAATTGGCCCCAAGAAGTCCCTGCATGAGAGACGCACTTGGTCTACTACAACACATCACATTCAACATAGTCAGGCCAAATGGCTGGGTTACAGGCAAACGCCTATAATATTCATATCCCATATGCTTGCTTGCTGCAGTGTGCAGCTTTCACCATGCATTTCTTCTCGCCCCCCTCCTAACATGCAACCACAGGTGTGCAAGCTGTGTGCCACTGCTGTTGCCAATCAGCATGCAAGGCATGTCAACACTACAAAGTGTTGTGCCCCCTTCCCATGCTGATAAATCTTTGAACGCAGGGGCAAATGTAGCCCTCCTCAGGAGCTGTGCACATAGTGTGGAATACTGAGTGCTACTGCTGATCACATTGCAGAGTTTCGAATTGAATAGCACAGTATCACCAGCACGTTCTCAACAATCTCCAAGAAATGCACAAGTTGGACTCCTGTTCCCACAATGGGGAGTCAATGAGTGTGGAGTGTGGAGTATGTGGGTGTGCAAATGAAGAGCACACAGGTCGCCCTGAAAGGGGAAACGCGATTACACTGTTGATCGATGCTGAATCATATGATAACATTGTCAAATGCTGCCAAAGGAATACAAATCACAGCAGTTGGTGACGCATACCATTACAATTTGCGAAATGCATGCAACCATTCTCCACAAGATTGATGCATGAATAATGTATTGTGCTGTCTTCTTACTTTCCTTTGCAATTACATTTCTCGCAACTGTTAATCTAGATGTGCAGCCCAAGAGCGCTATCTGCATGGTGAGAAGCACAGATACTCACCCTGAAGCAGCGACAACCCAGGAGTCAATGAGGCAGACGGAACTTGACTTGCTGAAGCTATTGCCTAGCCCAAATCATGAGTTTACCCCACAAACCCTCAAGACAAAAGATAACCGCTTTAGTATCTGCTGTTTGTTGTTTGCACCGTTCCTTGCGGCACACTTTCCCTGCTGTTCTCAGGGACCAGCATCATCTTTGCAGCACACAACAGTGCCTCATGAATCCTGCTGAGGAGAGGGATGGTAACTGCATCACCTATATCTTTTGCTGCAATGGATAAGACAGTACTCATGTCATGGAAAACAACTGACTGACTACAAAACAATGCAATACAGATACAACCTGGTTGTGCATTTCAGGCTTCAAGTCCCTTTTCCAGTTGGCATTTGGTAGTACCTGTTATGTGTCTCCAGGGCCTGGTTTCCACTATTATTCCATCAGAGTCGTAGGAGTCTGTCTCCTCCCCAAGCCGCATTGTGCCCTCGTAAACCTTTGTCATGCTGGTGAAACTGTCCACCATCTTTGTAGACTTCCCAGCGACAATTATCAGCAGCCCTGCAAGCCAGGAAAGGCCTCAGTACTGCAGAGCCACAGGTTAGCTGGGCATTCCATGATCGCCACATCACATAGTGTGCCATATAATGGCAACTGCAGCAGCACATTGCCCCAGCCATCAAGTGCCGATTCGTCTGCTCCAGCGACAGAGGGAGCCAAATTCAATCTCCTGCTTGTAATATGCAGAATCAAAGCAAAGCAATGTTGGAACAAATGCCTGCAGATGTAAGCAGTGCCCAGCAACGTCCAACAGTTGCAAGCGCCATGGTTTGTCATAGTTTGATATTTTTATCACTGTGGATTCAGACAAGCACACTGCTGATCAGGACTCCTGTGGAAGGCTGGAGTAGCTCAACAAACACTGCAGGGCACAGGCAACCTCCCAGCGCTGTGCAGCCTGGTGCAGTTTAATGTGATGCACCAGCTCATGGGGTGGTGACAATATAAGATTCCAAGAAAGTGTTTTGGGCTGTTTTCTTGAGACCTTGAAGGCAACAAAGGGGAAGCGATGCAACCCTCTCTAAGCAGGACACATGACAAAGGAAAGGCAGACATACACTATGGAAAGAGAGCGCAACCAATCATGTTCGCGACTGCAAGTTACAGCTGTCCTGGGACTTCCATGGAAGTGGCACCACTTTCCTGCCTGCGGCGTCGGGTTCAGGCAAGTGGCAATCTGAGCAACACTACAGCCCTGTAAGGTCAGGAGCACAATCAGAGGTCGCCCTGAGTGTCCTGTGTCCTTGTAATAGCTTGTGACCTGATGGGGTAGGATTGCTGCAAGTCAGCCTGCCGGGGCATGAGTCCTGTTTTTGTGAACCGACGGGGACACAAAGATTATTGCACCACTGTCAAAACCACGGTGCAGTGGGCATTCCCTCAATGTTAAGCTGGAAATGTGACGCCGAACTGTCCTGCCAGAAACGCAAGCAACAACGTGAGCAATGGCAGGTGCTGGTTGTTGTGTCTGTGGCTTCATGTTGTTTCCAGCATCTGAATTTTTCACATCCCAACATGAAGGCATCACCTGTGTATTCTTGGCTAGTTGTCACGACTTGGACTCATGGTGGCAGTTGTGGAGATTGTCATATCTTTGCATTTGATTCCATCAAACAAGGGCATGGCTGCATCTACAAGGTGTTATCACCAGGGAACGCATGGGTCATGTAAACGGTGATGATGCACGATCATGGGTCTCATTCCCTGAAATTCGTTCCATTCAAACAAACAAGTGTGGCGATTTGCGTTCACTTTCGATCTGCTCCCCACCCCACCCCACCCTGCACCACCCACCCAACCACCTTGAGTGCTGAACATCTCTTCTTTGAGC